TTTGAACACAAGTAACAACTCTAGTATACATATCTTTTATGACTTGAATATAAGTCATATCAACACCCTTCTTCTCAAGAACTCTCCAAAGGATATCGCTTGGAACCTTATCGTAAGCTTATTCTAAATCAATAAAAATCAAATGTAGATCCTGCTTATTATCTTTGAACTTCTCCATCAAACCTCTCAATAAATGTATAGCTTCCATGGTAGACCTACCCTGCATAAATCCAAATTGATTATTAGAAATCTTTCTAATACGTCTTAAAAAATAAAATTATTAGTACATCTATTCAAATGTAACACTTCATATTCGATTATGAATATACTAACCGACTGTAGGCATTAGAAATTTATATCCACATTGTTGAGTAGCAAATTTCAAAATGTGATTATCTTGAGCACTCCCTTGTCATCCAGCCATTAAGAACGTAAAACACTTATTAAAATCATAAACTACTAAGATATTCTATGTTGTTGACCCATAGCGTCTGATATATATATAATCTTATCATTATTCAACAATAAGTGCATCGACATGTTTGCCCCATCAATTGATCCTATACAATCATATTTAAAATATTTATGAAAATAATTAGTTTTTATATCATGCATGCAATTTAATAGATAAATCAATAATTCAAAAAATGACATGTATCTTATATCGTTATAGATTTCTTTTCATGTATGCTCAAAAGCAAGATTTTTGAATTTGGCAATGTTTCTTGGCACTCTAACCAAATGGTTAAGCTCGATATCAAAATATATGTTGAACGTCTCTATTGAGTTTTAGAATCGCTTGAAAGCAGCATGAATAGACTTATTATGTAACATGATACATAAAGTGATAATACTTCTCTTGGTGCAAATTGGGATGATTCTTGTAAATCATAATTATTTTGCAATTCATCCAACAAATCACTAAAAAATTTCCCGATTTCTGAAACATACTATGAATTATACCTGTATGACCTTGGAATAACTCACTATTTCATTTGTCATCTACTGATGAGGATGACAAATACACTGACTTTTATGAATTTTTTCTGATTTTACTCATTAATAAAACATACTGTAGTAGTCAAAATTGTTGTTCATTCCACTGTTTTTATAATTTCCTCTTTAATTCATGGTTTCATCTATTTATTTTATGCATGTTAGAATATATAAAATATAATAAGTAGGCTATAAATAAACAACTATATAAATAAAATACTATAATTAGTGCAAAACGTGCATGATCAAATATCACATGAACATGTCACAAAATCCTGTTTGACATAAAATATTAAATTATTACACAATTCTAAATCAGAAATTAAGAACACAAATTAACTCCACTAATTGTTTAAAAAATACAAGAGGCAAGGAATCTTTCATTCCGGACCATCATGATGAAAGCCTTCCGTTTTGTTCGGTCCTTTAAAAGTTTTATAGCGAATTAATATAGCGACATGTAATCAAACATCTGGAGCGTGGAGTCCAACAGTTTCACGATTTCGAGTTGTGTATCCTTGAATAATCGTGCGAGCACTGAATGTCATACTAGTAGGTCGTAACGAGCTGTAAGATCTATTTATATAAAAGTTGGGGGTTGGGGGTCGATCTTCATTCTCTTTTTACACTTCTGTGTAGAGGGTGCATAGCACCTGAAATAACTTGATTCTTCTTTTTCTCTTATCTATGGTACTTCTTCTTAGACTTCATTTGAATAAACATATTCAAACTCATTCAAATTTTGGGGGAAGTCCTATGTTGTTGCCCAGACAATAAAGCCCGTAGCTGCAACACTGAGAAACATAGATTAAAATTCCTCCTCCAGCTCAGGGTCTATGCCAACTCTCCTAAATTTCTTTTGCATGGGACAGGACATACAGTTGATGTAGTCATAGTTCAATTAATATGAGTAAATAATTCATGTAACATTTTCTGTTTACTAATATTTTTCCTCTTCACTCTTTTCTCCATAACTCTTTCCAAATTTTTTAGTCTTTTTTGAATTGATTTCATTTGTTCTTTGACTGAGTTTTATTATGCAGTCTTCTTGTTTTCTCATGTTAATTTTGGTTATACATTACCAACATTCTTTGTTGAAATGCATGGTTGATATGTTGTCAGTCTTGATTGATTTTAAACATAAATCACAGAATATAATCTTCATATTTTTCTCTCAACTAACCGATATAACCCATTCCTTTTGTTTTACCATCTGATGTATCACCGAGATAAAAAATAATTAGAAGAAATTATATAACTTAGTATATGACTTAAAAATTAATTAAAAAAAATTGAAACAGAAGTTAAAAAAAAGATCGAAGTAAAGCTCAATGAGATCAATTTATAAAAGATTGCTCCATCCAAGATCACCAAGTGCTTTTGAGAATCAAGTTAACTGTCTTGCAGGCTTTAAGATAATGTAGTATCTGTGGTTGATTGTGTGTGTGTACTTTAAAACCAGGTAGTTTAGTGATTGACTGTGTTATGCAAGTTTTAAGTCCCTGTAGTATCTGTGATTGACTATGTTATGTAGGCTTTAAGACTAGGCAGTATCATTGGTTGACTGTTTCATACAAGCTTTAAGACTATATAGTATGTGTGGTTGACTATCATGTGTGCTTTAAAACCATGTAGTATCTGTGATTGACTGTGATACCATGTAGTATATGTGGTTAATTCTGTCATCCATACTTTAAGACTAGGTAATATCTATGGTTAATTTGTTATGCAACTTTCAGACTAGATATTATATGTGGTTAACTATGATTGCAAACAAATGATAACAATTATATGGATCACAATTGGTTGTTTGAGCTCTTTTTTTTCCATCATTGCTCTACATAACATTACCAAACCTTACGCCGTCGAAGCCTGCATAACATATAACATGCACGATGCCATTACCATAGCAAATACAACAACAGATAATTATTATTGCAGAGACGGCCAAAAATCATGTAGTAATGAAGATGTGAAGTAAATAATATGAATGCATAAGAGTTGACTTATATTTATGCAAAACATCAAAATATATTTTGATAAATAAGCTATGCTCATACAGTTTCATAGGGGATAGAGCATTTATTTGCATACCATAAATTCTTATCTTTTGCATTTATATAACCTCTAGCTTCTCATGTCACATAAAAAAGATCACTATTTCAACTTTTAAAAGTTAAAGGCACCTTTTAAGACATAAGATTGCACACTACAAAATCTTATAGACAGCATCACCACCCAAATCTAGTGCAAACCCAACAATGTAATCCAAAAAAATACTAAATCATGTATTCCATCACATAAAATGAATTGCACACCATAAAAATCTCATAGTTATAGTTAGTCAGCCTAGAATTATAACATAACCACTACCAAATCAAACCCAAGAACAACTAATCGAACACAAACAAAACCAACCCCAACTAGAATCAGCCGAACCCCAACCATAACTAACAATAATACCCACAATCAACAAAAACCATAAATTAGAGCAACCACAACCACAACCACAACCACAACCACAACCACAACCACAACCACAACCACAACCACAACCACAACCACAACCACAACCACAACCACAACCACAACCACAACCAACTGTACCCCAAGCAAAACAACCCTAACAATAGCCAACAAAACTCCAACCACAACCATCAAAATCCACAATCAACAAACACCCAACAAGAGCAACCCTAAACACAACCACCCAAGCTCCAATCACATCAACCCCAATCATAGTCAATAGAAACCCAGCAATACCAAGCTCAGCCACAGCCAAGAAAACCCCAACTAGAGCAAGCCCATCCAAAATATAGCATGTAATGAACATCTGAAACCAAAGAAAGAACACAATTCTTATGTATTTGGAAAGCCAACACATGAGTTTTTAGATGTACGCAAAGAACAACAAGGATACATAACAAACCATCAAAAATTGAAAATGAATTAACCATCCACTAATTTGAGGGTATCGCATTGAATGCAAAACCGAAATAGGCTGGAATGCAAACCTAAGGCAATAATCAAACTCGTCAATACAAAGTAAATTGAAATCTGGAAATCCGGTGACGGAAGAAAAAAACGAGAATAATTATTTTTTTTAAAAAAAAACTTTGTCGTGTGAACCTAAACCAAAGAGAAACATTCTAGATACATGCATACATCAAACATGAGGGAGAAGCTAAAACCCTTTACTGGTATGCCTTAAACCCAAAAAGCATGCAGCGAAGACGGGGGTGAAGCCATATAGCAAGGGTAAATACCATAGATAAAACAAAGACTTTGAGGAAAAGATGAAGGGTAGCGATATCTTTTCCCGCAACCACGTCTCGGTCCATTCCACGGAACCAAGGCCCGACTCTTTATTCGTAAAATTTCGATTTTGTGAACTGCCCTTTACGAAACGCGTTGAATAAATGGGTTCCAAACACACCCAGGGTGCTTTTTAGAATGAAAAGAGGCTAAACAGCTGCCCCAAACGCACTCTTAATTTCACCTTTAGTTCCGTCTCCCCTCCCGCTCTCATTTACGATTTTTAACAATTGAAGCTGCTCAACTTGCTCATCTATCCCTTTTTGTCTTCACCTTCTTTGCATTAAGTGAACCGGCATTTGTAGATTGGATCTCTTTTTTAATTTCCAATTTTTTTTTAAAATCTTTTTGCTGGGTTATTACAAATATAACTAAAGAATAAATTATTCATCCTCAGATAAATTCACTTTCTCTACACTAATGTACTTCTCTGTCGTTACTATTGGCCTTTCTAACATGGAATAGGTTTTTTGATGCAATTTTATGTCATTTTTTTAATGGGGGTCTGTTTTAAAACCTTTCTATTTATGGTTCACTTGATTAATGTTTCCTTGCCATCATTTCTCAAGGTCAAGGTTTTATTCAGGTTTATTGTAAAGATTGCATCCTTAATGTAGTTTGCTTGTTAGTTTTTCTTTGCTGGTGCTTTTTCCAAATTTTCTTCTTTGCTCATTGGTGATTTGCTGTAGGAATTCATGGGGAGAAACCTACTTGCGATGAATGTCATGTGGAAGTACATGGAGCAGGTAGCTGTAATAATATTTTCAAATCAAACTGATGGATTTTCTGAGCATTATCTAATACGATAGAATGGTTCCTTGAAGTTTGAATGGAAATTTTGTTAGTTGCATATCATGCTTGTTTGCTGGTGCTTTACTCTTTTCTATTCATATAGATGATTAATTTTTCTCATATTTTCTTAGCGATCCTTTCCATTAACTGAAGAGGAGTACATACTGAGGCTTGATGATATAGCAAATACATTAAAATGTTGGGGCGCTGTCTCACATATCCGAAATAGTCTTGCAAAATTGAAAGAGCGACCGCGAATAGGAAAAGTATTTATTTCTCTTGATGTTTTATTTCTGTATTTTGTAGTGAACTAAACTTCTGTAGCTTGATTTCAGTAAATAGCCGTCTCCATCACATCGTGTTCTATTTGAATTTTTTTTTTCTTTAGTTCTTTTATGAGTATTTCGTTCATTTACATATACTATGTATCCCGAGTTTTTCTTACATGACAGTAGGAGTTTTTCTTACATGACAGTAGGAAAGTCTCTAGAAAAGTCTCAAGAAAAAAAGTTGACTGCAAACACAGCATGCATTTTAATTGATATTTATATTTAATTGAATATTTCTAATGTGTTTCTGTTTTTGCTAATTGAGAATGTATTACTGTATAAACTTTTCTTGAACATCCTTTCTCCATTTTATAACAACCGTTAACATTTGTTTTGAATTATTTCCATTTTTTAATGTCTTTATTGGAACTTTTTTTCTGAACATGAATTTTGAAAAAAGCCACGCATGTTGAAGGATCGAGAGCTAAATATATATAATAAAACAAAAAAATTCACCAAAATATAAATTGAAGTCTTACATTGATACAAGGTGATGACTTCCATTGGAATTTGGTCGTTACCAAATGAAGGAAGGCTAGGAAGAATAACAAAATCAAACAACAACAAAGAACAAATAGTAGCAGTAATCCAAACTAGATTAATATAGAATAATGAAATTCAAAATATCTGAGAATTTATGTTTTTATCTGAGCCGTCATCATAGGCATGAACAACTAGAACTGCAATGTAAACAAGTTGAAGCCCTGCTAAATTTAGAAAAAAAAAAAATAATAATAATAAAAAAACCTAAAGGTGACAATTTTCTCTTCTCAAAGCTCGCATCTTGTTTTTCTGAGTATTTTGAGACTTGCATCAAACTGGCCTAGCTTTAAAAAATTGGCTTTGCTGAATTAAGTGTTTGGTACTCGCCATGAAATTTTCAGCATAATTATTATAATGAATAATCATATTATTTTGATTACATAATTGCATAAATATCTTTAATATCCACTATCAGTAGTAGAAAAAATCTCGTTATTTAATATTGCTTTCGTAAGGATATATATAGAATTATCTACAAAAAAGTTTGAATGTGAATTCTCAAGTTAACGGTGGAAAGAGAAAAGGATTCGCAGCATTTGTTGCATGCTCGTTACTAATACGAATATGTCCTAAAATGCTTAATTCCTAACTTTTTGTTTCAATGTGTTTCATGCTTCTATATGTCCCATCCTTTTTTACTATAAAGTCAATTGTAAGAAATATTTCTGGATTTAGGTGACTTGCTATTTTATCACTTAGTTTGAATATCATTTATCTTTTACTCTTAGTAGTAGTGAACTTTTATCATAATTGATTGTTAATTTCTTTTAGGAATATCTTGATGTAAATTATGCAAGTGACAAATGCTTATTATAATATGATATGAGCATTTATTGAAATTGCTAATATATTGATATACTTTCTTATGACTACTATTGAATGCATGACTAATTCCTAAAGGGATGGCAAGTGGACGAGGAATGATTGTAATATTATTCAATATCTTAAGCTTCATAGTTCATATAAGACCCCGTCTAATGTCTTTTTGAATCTTTTAGCATAATGAATGCTTAATTTCTTTCTTTTTTACTTTTAATAAAATAGATAATGATAACATGATGTTCTTTAGAGGTAAACGAAAATGGGCTACAAGACTTTTAAACCTTCCCTAATATTACATACACCATTTTTACCTTATTTTGTAATTATTAAATTTATCATGCAGTTGCTTCTATATTCATATGATGATGAATAGTATTCTTTAATTTATGCTTTGTATAAACTTCTATGGATTTAACATCAACAACTGACCAAAATGACTCCAGGATATCCCATTAGTGTTGATTTTAAACAGTCAACTAGTTGAAATCAAATATCTTATAACCTTCAACTATTTATGAATACAATTATGGATGAGGTAAAATGGTGATTGTGCATAGTATGACACACCTATATGACTGGTCTTTTCTTTATGAGACATTATTTTCAACTGTTGTGAATATTAGATTCACGAAAATTACATTTTCAGCTATATGTTAATTTTGTATTGTCCTTGTGTTTCTTAGTTGTGAATAACCCACATTTTATAGTTTTGTCACTGCTAATTACTTCAAACTCCATTCTGATGGATCACAATTCTTAATTTTTTTTTCCTTGGGCTTTTTCAGAATGCTGCTTATCTGTGCTGTGCAGGCGGTTAGCATTTTCATAGACATGGATGAAAGTGGAGGGCGGTCAAATGAGTGGATTTACAAATGATAGTTTTACAAAATAATTTGGCTGAAAGCATTGAAGCAGATCTCCCCAGAGTGTCTACAATCAGAACATTTTCATAGACATGGATGAAAGTGGAGGGCGGTCCAATGAGTGGATTTACAAATGATATTGTTACAAAATAATTTGGCTGAAAGCATTGAAGCAGACCTCCCCAGAGTCTACTATCAGAGTTGTATATTTTATTAGTGAAACAACTTGCTTTCTATTCTCTTTGTCAATGCTTTACCCCTCCCTCTGTTCATCATTTCAACAACAGTATGAAAGTATCACTATAACTACAAGCCGCATGCTTGAAGTTTTATATTTAGTTGGCTTTGAATTTGATAGTGAAATGCTGTAAATTTGATGGTTTTTTTTTTCTTTTTTTGTTTAATTCAATAAAATGGGTATAATAATATTCATTGGAGTTTCTGGACTTGTGATTTGGCTGCTGCGGTGAATAGTAGAAAAAATGACTACTATGTACTGATATAAGCTATTTTGTTGGCTTGGAAGGGAGTAGGGAGAAATTAATATATGCTTGTTTTTATGATTATGAGAAATGAATAGTTAGTTTTAAGAGTCAAGACCGTTTTGATAATATTTCAATTTTTATTTTTTTTCGTAAAAGTATATTTGTATTGTGTTCGTTAATGGCGTTCGTTTTTTATTTTAAAAAAGTTAATCCTTTTTATTTCTAAAAACTCTTGAATGAGGTGAAGGCCAAGGTTTGCGAATTTCTATGGCTTTGTTAAGCTAAAATCAGGGATGTCCGCTTAGGATGACCTATAAGGTTGGCTTTAGGCTAGAACAAAGTCCATCCTAGACCAAGACCTGGCCAATAGAGTTAATAAGTGAACTCTCAAAAAGCGAGGTGGATTATCAAAGTAGACGTATATTATTGATGGACTCAACCAGCAAGATATTAAGTAATGAAATGTTTTGGATTTGGATTTTATTTGGCGGTTGTTTGGTCAGGTGAATTTGTAATGTGAAGTAATTGGAATGTTGGGGCTTTTGAATTATAGTTTTTTTGGAATTTGCTCTACAGCGTAAAGCCTGTGTATGCCAAATCATGTGGGTGATTTTCAAATACACTATTAATGGCAGCGCTGGGCACTAACATTGGTACCAACTAATTGCCATTGATTGCCTCTCATACTCGGTTTTTTCCTGTTATCAACATTCACCATCTGGCATTGATGTCACTAACTGTATTTTATATTGATTTTATTTTTTTTCATATCAAATGTCAAAGCTTAAATGTTTGCAATTATTTTACACAAGTCAAACCCAAAGTATTTCAAATACTTTATAAATAATTTAAATTGTATTCCTTTTTAAGGAAACTAAACATACCGTTGAGGATTTTTTTTTGAGATTTGAATCAAGATTTGATATTAAAGGGTTTGACAAAAGTTTGGCAAAATCCATGAAGCCTGAACCTTTTTGAGCTAGAGTAAATATGATAGACCCAATAGTATTTAATGCTAGGTCGATTCCAAAAATGGTTATGTTAGAAGGGTCTAGGAGATTTGATCATACTTAGGCTTGCGAGTCCATTACTAATCCATTGACTGAATAGTGACATAATGGGATCATTACAACTAAATAAATTAAATCCAATGGTAAGAGATGATTGTAATTATATTAAATCAACTATGGTATTGTTGCAAGTAAATAATCTATATGAGGTTTTTGAATCTATTCGTGTATGATGGATAAATTTTATATCCTAACACCTATAATAAGAAGGTTGTAAATAGTTTATCCCATCTTGATTCAAAAGTCTCATCCAAAGGAGAATTATGGGGGCCTAAAATTATGTAAAACTAAACTAATCTTTGGCGGTAAATTTTAACCAAGAATTATGCAATGATTTATTTAGCAAAAGTTATGCTAAGTAGTCAAACTAAATATATAAAATCTATAAAATCTTACATTTCATTTTACCTTTGTTTCATCTGAAGTCCTATACTTACTAAATCTAGGAGTTTGGTAAATTTAGGGGATTTAGCAAGATAAACATAGAGGAGATGAAGGAAAATAATACAATGGATGCTTATGCTTATAGGCACTTGTCATGTCTATTATTATTATTTTTAATTCTTGAGGGTTCAAGCAGAATGATAAGATAAGCAAAAGTATTATGACATATTGTTGCTCATAAACTCAACATTTATGTTATACACTATTGTGATTTTTTGCTTTCTTTGAAAAAGAGCTTGAGGCACCACAAAAGAAACAACAGTATAACTCCTTCGAGCACCAACTTTAGCAACCCAATTAGAAGCCATATTACCTTCACACTTACTATGAAACCATTTTATGACCAAATTATTTGATAACTGTTCAATCAACTTAATATGATAACTAATACTCCAATGATGTTCCAACTTAAACCTGCAAACCTTCCAAAGTATAAGATAGTCAGTTTCAACGATAATATGAGTCCAACCAAACTTTCTAGCCACCAAGAGGCCAAAAAAAATTACATTTACCTCAACAACCAAAGGAAATACTGGACAAGAAGCTATCATAAACCAACAAATAATAATTCCCATAGAATTTCTACAAACACCACCAACACCCGCAAAATTAGAATTCCAACTCCCATCAGCGTTAATCTTAATAAATGACACTAAAGGACAACACCAGTGAATTCGAACAGACTACCTATGCTTCGGCACAACCACAATCTTTAGAGACTAGAAAACACTAAATAGCTTACCATTAGCAGAATCTTTGGAATGAGTAAGAAGATGAGTCTTCTTTAAGTAGTTAAGTATCAAACTAACAGTTTTAGCAATACTAGGCAACTCATTGTTGAATTTAGCATTGTTTCTCGTAACCCAAATAAACCACATGATAATAGAAGGAATATTAGTAAAAAAAGAATGTCCCAGATGATTCCAGTCTTTATAAATGTCAAAACAATGATTAAACTGAATTAACTTCTTGTTGATATGAAGTTTAGTAATTACCTAAGCCCAAATCTGATTAGTAAAACTACAATTACCAAATAAATGTAGAACACTTTCTTCATTAGAATTGCATAAAATGCAGCATGAAGGAAGCCTTAGCCCCTTCAATTTCAGAATATCATCAGTTGGAATAAATTATGGAAAACACGCCACACAAAAAAGGAAATAGAAGGCTTCATCTAACTATTCCAAATCCACTTCAGATTAAGCCCCTAAAATATTTGAAAAGATTTAGCAAACGTTTTAGAATAAGAATCCTCAATGCCACCCTTAATTCTTGGCAAATCAACCTTATCAAAGGTAATAGGAAGGGATGAAATAAATTTAACATCAATTGGATGAACCAACTTAATCAAATAGGCACTATTCCAGTAATTATCATTCCAAAAATCAGAAATAGTAAGGTTAATGTTTTTAGGCCCCCCATAAAAGTCCATTAAAGGACCTTTGCCAAGCCAATCATCATACTAGAAATAAACATTCCCTTTACCAATATCCCAAATAATTAAGTCCTCAGTTTACATAGCCACTTTCAACATTTCACGCCAAATAAAATAATCAGACTTGCAATAAGAAATGTATAGAGCATGATGCGTTTTGTAATACTTGACAATCAACAAAGTAGCCTAAAGAGAATTTCTTAACTAGAAATGATACCATAATTTCATATAGTTGATTTTGTTATAATCAACTAAGCTTCTAAAACCAAGACCGCCCTTGTCAAGGGGTCTACAAACTCCCAGCAGCACCAATGAATATTAGATTTACCTTTTCCTTCCCAAAGAAATTTATTAAAGAGTTTTTCTAACCTCTTAACAAATCCAACAGGCATATTCATCACCTGTAAAAGATAGAGAGGTAGAGAAGTGAGAATACTCTTTAAGAGAGTAATTCTCCCACCAAAAGAGAGGAACTTATTCTCCCAACTTAATATTTGTTTATGAATTTGGTCATACAAACTCAAGCAAGGAGCATTCCTCCCCAAGCCTTTGCTTAAAGAAAAACCCAATTAAGGTAAGGAAGAGAGGCCTTCTTACATCTAGTAGTATCTAAAATCCAAATTTTCTTGCTAGCAGAAATGTGTTTAGAGGAATAGAAAGAACATTTGGAGATGTTAAATTCCAAACCTGATGTGTCCTGAAAAATTTAAATATGCTTCCATAGTCTCATAATAGATCTCTTGAGAGCATTAGTAAAAAAAAATCAAATTGTCAGCATAGCATAAATGAGCATAGCATAAATGAAGCATAGCATAAATGAGAGATACTAATCTTGCCTTTGTGAGTATAATTCATACTCGAATATTTACGATAAAGCTCATTTAAAGTCTTAGAAAAATAATTAAAAGCAAGAATAAAGAGATAAGGAGATAAATGATCTCCTTGCTTGATGCACTTAAAAGCTTTGAAGTAACCACATTTATTGCCATTAATGAGTAAAGAATAATAATTATTGTTAATAATCCTATGAATGAGCATACATAAGTCATTATTGAAACCAATTGCCTTGATCATATCAATAATAAATTCCCAAGGAATAGAATCAAAAGCTTTCCGGATATCCATTTTGAATATCACATTACGCCCTTTACCTTTCCTATCAAGGTCGAAAAGATGCTCTTGAACTGTAAGTGCATTATTACAAAAGTTTCTGTCTTTAAATGAAAGCAGGCTGATTAGGACAAATAATGTCATTAAGTAAAGATTGAAGCTTCCTAACCAAAATTTTAGAGAGAACCTTAGTGACAATAGAGTTAAAACTAATAGGTCTGAAAGCTTCCCAGGTGGTAGCATTATTCACCTTGGGAATCAAAACAATATTAGAGGACTTAAAATACTTAGGTAAATCAATACCTTTAAAAATATCTTGAATAGTTTCAACTAAATGAAAATGAATAACATTCCAACCTTTCTTATAAAATTCCACATTGAAACCATCAGGACCACCAGCCTTTCCTTCCTCCATGCTAAATAGGATGTCTTTAATTTCCTCCATACTGGGCACACCAGTAAGAGGAGTATAGTTAATCTCAAAATGAGCAGAATAAAGATTAGAGTTAATATTTAAGAGTGGACAATCATTAGAAGAAAACAAATGGGAAAAAATAATTGATCCTATCAGCAATAATATCTTTACTGTCAAGAAGAATACTACCATTATGCTTACAAATCTTAGCAATCAAATTAATCTTCCTACAATTAAGAATACACGCATGATAATAGGAGATGTTACAATCACCATCCAAAAAATGAGCTTTAATAGCTTTTTAAACATACAAACTCTCTTCTGTGCTAATAACATGATTCATATTCTGTTGCTCTTTCAATAAAAGATCCTAACCAATAGTCTGATTAGC